AACATGTCAATTCCTTACAGACCAGCTCATTTCAAACATTATCCTGTCAAACAGTATGCCTTGTTACCTAAAGCAATTCCACAGGAAAAAATAGGGAACCTGGTAATTGATGAAGAGGCCCTTCAGATTGGCTACAATTTTAGTTCTGTATACCCTGGGCAGGAAAGTACACGATGCTCATGAGAAGAGCCACCAATAACGACAGCAGGTACAAATGGCAAGTGTAGAAAATAAGTTATTGCTAACAATTCTACAATCTCCCCTTGTATTACATTTGAATTGCGTGTGCACAGATGTATGCCAGACAACTCAAAGTTCAATCATTTTTCATCTGTGCATGATGCAGTCACTTGAGCTCAGATGTCCCGTATCTTGCTAGAGATTGCTCTGCTTCACCAGTCTTGCAACAGGAAGCAAGGGGAGGGGGAAGATGCAAAGATTAGAATAGCACAGAGCTCCCAGACATCCAGCTATCACACAGAAGAAGGAATAAGAATCAAAACCCACTGTACCAAAGCCACAGTACTAGAATAAGCAGGATCAAAGCTGCACATCATGTCCTGCTATTGGCTATACTGAGTAACAGACTGGAAGAAAAGTTACATACCTTCCTTGACCCAACTGTGAGAACACTAGGGCAATAGTGGGTTCTGTCTGGCTTCAGAGCAGGTGAGGAGCTGTCTGTTGGTACCTGATGCAAAGAGGCCTGTTTCAGAGCGTACAGGCTAAGAAGGTAACTCAAGACAACACACAGCCAGTCTGGAAATCTAGCAAAATTCAATACCTCGGGCCACCAGGCTGCTCCAAGTTCATCTTTCGAGCATTTGCAATTTCTTGCATCAGTTCTCAAGCTGAACTGCTTCCTGGCAGAGCAGGAACAGTTTGCTTTCCTCTGCTTCCCAGGCTGAAACTCTGTAGTGCCTTGCTTAGTAGCACCAAAATCAGTTGTCTCCCCACATGTCCCAAGGGGAACACAAGTTTCTCACATGACACAAGGTCCATGAGCCTGATGTGAAGATGCTTCCCTGGATATCAGCAATCAACCTAGTTGCCAAAAATACTCCCTTCCACTTCAAAGCCATATCTTTGACCTGGACAGGATAGGAAAGTAAATGAGCATTTGCCCTACAAGTGCAGAACACCACTTCCCTGTAATAATCGTGCTATTGCCAGGGGAATAAATAGCTGCATACTAAGAGGATGTCCAAGGAAGATGTATACAGAATTAAGGCTAAATAGCAAGCACACTCTCAGGTATATTTGTAGGGATTTAAGAAACACATGCCACTATAGACCCTGTAAGACCTCACATCTCTAGCAGAGGATCAGATCTGCACAAGAGAGTGCAATGGAAGCAGGCTTTGGTAGGCACTGAATCCAGTAACAGAGCAACACACTCTACTGCCCAAGTGGCCGAAGGTACGAATTTTTCTTTAGTCTGTCTGAAGGTCTTTCCTAGATGGCAACACACCAAGAGACAGATCCCAGAATTTGCTTACAAATCTCTGAGGAAGCGCAAACCTCCGGAGATAGAACAAAGTTTTCGATACACACTTACTCTTCGCACAGAGGCAGACTGCCTCGCAAATCGCTGCCAGTGCTGGTTTAGCAAATGCATTGCCAGCTACCTCTAGGGAAGGCTGAAGGGAGATCCCGGGAATGAAACAAGCGTCATTCAATTTGCAGTAAAGCTCACTGATGACTCTGAATAACAGCACGAGGAAAGCTGACCAGCTAGTCAGTACATTTATCATCCTAATGAGCCAATAATTCTCAGTGCACAACAGCAATAATACTGAATCAGACCGAAAGTTCCCTGCAGCTGAGTAAACTGCCTCAGCCACTGCCTGGCAGCAAACAGAAAACAGGGAAAAACAAAGACATCCTTGACTGAACTCCCTTTCCAGTTTCTGGCAGCTAGCAGTTTAAATGTATTTACTGAAAAACAAGTATTCTTTAAAGAAGAAACACTAAAGTTGATGTCCTCATCATAAATAAAGCTGATTTTTTTTGTTCCCCACAGGCAATTGCATAGAACAGAAATCAATTTCCTTCGCACCCGGTAACATTTCTCAAAGACTGGGATGACAAGCAGCAAAAATCTACTTCAAAATCTTGACTGGGTCCAATATGCTTCAATGGACAACTTTGCTGTAATTAACACTCTTTTCAAGAAAGACACCTAGCTTCTCTTACCAGTTAAGACAGAAAAAGGCCCAGTGAGGAAGGCCTCTGGTCATTCTCAATGAGGTAAAGGATCCCCAGTTCCCTACCGTAAACGCAGGTACCCTCCATCCCACCAGCAGATGCAGAAGACACACTCCTCATCACCAACAGATCAGAAAATCAGTGAGTGACTCATCACCTCTTCCTTTTTGAAGAAGGATGGAAAGGGAAGAAAGGAAGATACGGTTCTCTGCCAATAAAGACAGGATGAAGAGGAGAAATGGCAGTGACTGCAAATCATACAGCAGTGCCATGTCTGCATCCAGCAACCGGTGATTACTGTCATTGAAGCTCTTTCAGCCCAGCACTAACAAACTATCTCCAGCAGACATTCTTTAACATCCAAAGTTTGCTAGAACCTACTAAGGGAACGGGCAAGCTTAGTCCACCAACTTCCTAAGCCTTTAAGGCAGACTTCCTTGCTGGTGTTCAATCTGCTCAAGCAGAAAAACAAGAGAGGATGTATCCTGGGAATGGATGGTGGTTTATGTACGACAAAAGAGATACGCCAATGAACTACTAAAACTGTCCTGGGAAAGAAACAAAGCCAGAGGGGAAAAAATTGCATTGTTATGTACTAAAGAATGAGACTGCATTCTGCTTTACCTCCTCAAGCACTGAACAAAAGGGAAAGGGAGAGCACAAAAGAATGTTTTCATACATTTTATGGAAGTAAAATATGAAAACCAAACTTTGTTTCAAGTGACATTTCCCAGGAAAATAAAGGTCAAAAACTCATCTGAAAACAGAGTTCCTTGGTGAGTGACTGAAGAAAACATTTCTTAAGATGGCAAAATAGAGGACATAAATACAACGTATGGCAATCCATTTCCTCAGCGGAAACATCAAAGCTTCCCCACTTCCATACTGTGGTGAAGGGCAAACTGAAGTAACAGAGCAGGCAGATAACCATTTAAGCTAGGGGCTATGCAGACCTCTGGCACATCTCCGAACCAGCAGAATAGACCACTGCATAGGACTAGAACTGCATCCACAAGTATCAGTTGGTTAAGGCTACGCATCTGCACATCAAATCACAGTATCAAACATGCCAGACTTCAGAAACACAAACATGGTGTAGTAGGAGTACTGAGTAGTTATGTCATGTGTACAGAGCCAGGCAGACAACACAGCAGATACAAGAGAAGCCGCCACAACACTTATACGTGTAAGTTGCAAAGGTTGTAAAGGTGTTTCAGTCTCCAGAGCAAAACCACTGCTCAACTCCCATTACCCGCTTTACTCACAGATCATTATAACCACTGCTTGTGTTACCAGTTTCACAGTATAAACTCGTGAAAAAGTACCAAGTATAACTGTTATTTCTACTTTCTCGAAGAGAATTTTCTCGGTTACAATCTGTAAATTTCCCAAGTCTATACACTTAGTATGACACAATTCTTCTATAATTGTAGTATATTCCCAAAGGGTTAATTAGAGAGGTAACACTTCTTACTAAATTGAATAAAGAGGGGGGGAAAAGTCTACATCCCACTCTGAGAAATACCAAGGCAAAAAAAAAAAAGAAGTTTTCATTCAGTAATAAAAATAGTGTATTCACATACCACTAACTAATTAGGAAAGGCAGAAGATTCTGTTATTAGGATGTGAAAACCAAAAAGGGAATCGACTAAACCAAGGCATCAAAGTTAGTTAAAAAAAGCTGCAGGAAAGGGGAAGGAGAAAGGTGTGTAAGGCATACAGGTAGGAAAGACTTGATTACTGATATGGCAGCTTTCTCTTTAAAAAAAGAAACATTTTTATCTTCTTAAATCAAGAGAAGAAAATGGCATATTTCAATTCATTGTGCCAAAATTAACTACATCAATATTCGCATGCCTGTTCCAAGACAAAAACTGACCTCTTGAATAGAAATTCTATTTAAACTAATAAAACTAATTAAAAAAACCCAACACCACCCCCACCCCCCCCCCCCATATATATATCTCTTTGGCCCAAAATTGATAGATGCCACCTTATTAAAAAAAAAGCCTTTTCCTAAAGAAGTTAAATATGGACAAAATCTCAGCTTTATACATATTTTTGCTTTAGAGTTCTCAACTGCAAATTACTTGCTATAATACTACAATTAAAAATATCTTGAAGGGGGAACGTCTATACATAAGCTATGTTATAAATGTATGTGACATCACCAGCAGCACTTGTGCTTATGAATTAATGCTACACAGTTTGTACAGCCCTGTGGAAAATGTTTAAAGAACTAACATGAACCAAATAAAACTATCAATAATATTGGTTTTTAAATGCATGATCATAAAGAAAAAGTTTGACACAAAGTAAACAACACAGGTTCTTATTGCATAGATACACTTCTGCTGCTGTAAAAGCAAGATCTGCTGATGAAAATACTTTTACCTCATTCTAAAATGCAGTCACTGCTGCCAGAGTACAGTTAATATAAATGCAAACAAAACTTAACAGATTTAAAAACAATACCCTTGACGCTACGCACTGAGACAATACTCTGTAAATCAGTTTATTTTCCATGTAGTGGACAAATCCAGTCTGTAATTATTTTTCTGCACGTGAATAGTAAAATCAAAGTGCTTATTTTCCCACAAGAAATGTGTTCACTGTGAGAATACGGGGCCCTGCAATACCCCATAAAGCTTTCAATTTAAAGGTTAGTTCTAGAAATTTGGAACTGTAACATCAGGGTCTTTGCCGTTAATAACGACGACTACACTACAAATGGCTAAAGAGCAGTTGGTTGTGGAAGAAGTAGAACACTACAACAGCTCAATTAAGGAAAAGAGTTTTAGTGCACTTTGCTCATTTTAGCCAACATGCTACATTGCCCTTTTTGCATACAAAGTGGAGTCAAGGATTTCCATTGTAAGAAAGAAATGATGTGGCAAGCAAAACACTGTGTCAAGCTGCCCTTTCTTTCCTTATAGACTCGGACATTTTAAGACAGAAGCTTTGCAAGACATTACACAGTTCTTTTTTTTTTATTATTAAATGAGAAAGTCTGATTTGTTACATTGTCACATTGCTAGTCAGAAATGCTTCAGTGATGAAGAAAGTCAATGCTGGGTCAACCCAAGTCCTCATTCTACAACATTCGTTTACAAAGAAATTATAGTAAGGTTCAGCATGTCCAACACAACATTCCTTGCTTTCTTCAGAGAAAAGTGTCATCATTCTTTCTCTAGTGGGTATGTTACTACATAAATTAGAAAATTTTTTTTGGACGACACATCCCCAAATTCTCATGAGATCAAAACAGGCTTCTACAGATGTTACAGAAGTCTTCACACATCATCATCTGATGTATCACTGCTGCTCGTCTCAGAATCCTCATTCTCCAGAGCAGGTTTGAAAGTGCTGTTTTTCCAAGGACTAAATTTAAAATTATAGACGAGGCCATTTTTCAAAATGCCATTTTTCCGAAGGCCATTTTTTTGTAACTGAAATGGGAAAACAAGATGTATTTAGAGAAAGGAAAAACTAAACACCACAATCTATTGTGTTTCAACATTCTCTACACCTTCATCTCTGGGCTACATTAGATCCACAGCACCACATTTTCATACATACACAAGAAAGAAAACTCTCCTCAGAGCCTTCACTTCTGGGCCAGCCACCTGTATCCAATTGCCTCCAGTTGTGCTAAGCTCCTGCAGTCAACGAGAGCTTACCCTCTTCTCACCCGCTTCCTGAAACATCTTGCCCCAGTAATCCCTCCTCCCACATGGTCTCTCCTGCAATGCAGTCCTTTTTTCCACAGTGCTGCAAACATCTGTTCTAAGAAGGGCAGGGTCTGCAATAAGGAAGGGGCCCAGAAGAGGAGAAGCAGTGTGGAGGAATGGGTATCCCAATCTGTCTACCTGATGCAGTTGGAAAGTCAAAGACACTGGAGAGAAAGGAAACAACTAATTCTACAAGAAGAAAGCAATTACTGCGTTTCCACACATAGTGCAGAAGCTGGGCAATAAGCCAACCATTTCAGAGTTTAATATTCAAAATGCTCTAATTAATACATGCATGGCTAGGCTTATGGAAGTATCAAATGTTCAGATTTAACATTGCACAAGATTCTCCTTTCCAGCTCCTTCTCACTGTCCCCATTAAGTCTATACAAGACTCCTAATTGAACTTTAAAAAAAAAAAAGTCTAGAATGCCTTTTCAAACTTTGTTACTAGTGAATTAGATGTGTCTCAACTTCCAACAGAGAAAATTCAGATTTTGCAGAACCAAGGAAACTGCATAAAAACCTTGAAAGAAAATTCCCTTTCCTCAGCTGAGGAGCAGGAAAGCCTGTGCAATTCTACCACCAGCAATGCTGAAACCACTCAGAAGTACTCCCTTACCCTTCCTTTGATATTTTGAGAATAGGCCTTCCCTACAATAAGCACTGGTTCCTCATCTTTTTAAAGCAACTATTCTTCCAAAAGCACAATACTGAAATGATGCTGAAACGGCAACATCCCTAACCATCAAAATTACTGCAGATCCTCCTCAAAGGCATTTAGGGTAGTCAACTTCAAGTTCATAATGGAACATTAACTTTGCGTTACCTGCTCACTAATGACTTGGAACTCCCTCATCTCATCCTCTGTTAGTGGAGCACATGTTTCATCATTTTCACTGTATTCCTGCCAGCCCATCTCCTTCAACAACCTTTAAAATAAAAATGACAACATTAAGGAATTTGCTACACACACTCAGACATTTCAAGCTCTGCCTACATATATGTGTAAAGATGTGTAACAAATGGATTAATCAGTCTGTAATTTTTTTTTAAACAAACTCTTATATAAAAGTAGGTTAAAAACCTTACAAAAGATATATAAAGCACAGAAGTTGAAAAGTACTCAGGTCCTTCACAGATGACCCTGTTTTACCACTACATGTGGTAAAAACTGTACTTTCATTTTAAAGCAAGAAATCTGTGTCAGGTGGAAAAGTAGCAAAGTATTTCCTTTGCATAACTGCTCTGGTGGAGCAGCAGTGTACCCCCTTGAAAACTATATGAAGAGACAAAGACTCACACTGAGGGAATCTGAGGGTTTTCCTGGATAACAGAGCAGCCATGAGGAATACTGGTGGTGTCCCTGCATGGGAACCAATTCAGGATGCAATGGCCTCATATAGTATCTTCTTCCTAGCATATGCTAATTTCAAAGCTGGGACAGGATTCTTCACAACTGAGTCTCACCCAATGTCAAATACTGGTATTTCAGCACTGACAGACTACAACTAGGAGTGAGTTTTGGGATGAGGGGAGGAAAAGAAACAAGAGACAGACTCCTCTCTTGACTAAGCTTGAGATATCCAACGATGCATTAATCAACATATTTCAGCTAGTGCCAAAAGTGGGACAGCAGTATCTGAGCAGAAGGAAAGTAGTTTTGCACATGAAGATGCTGTGAAAACAGGCATTATCTGATGGTGAAGACCACATGACATTTAACAATGAAGAAAGTAAGCTTTCTTGCTGCAAAGTCTTTGCCAAAAGGACTAGCACCTTCTTCAGTCAAATCATGCACCTGTTGACCTTAAATGTTAAAGGACGTTAAAGCTATTTCACAAAAAAAAAAAAAGAATTCTTAAGTACATGCCAGAACCAACATAAGAAACTGACACTCAGAGCTTAAGATCAGTGAAAATATTAAACCAGGGAAGTAAGACGAACTCACAGTTGACGTCATGTGCCAGGTACTTCATTTAGCCAAATGTCAGCAAAAACCGCCCTTCAACATAACCCTCTGAACAAAGAACTCTAGGTCCCAATACAATGGGCATGCATTGGGCAAACTTGCAGGTGACAAATGATACCAATGACTGTTGTTAAAACCATAATAAAAGCCTGGAATTCTAGAAGGAGAAGGGGAGAACAGCACTACTCTGTTTTTTGAAAAAAAAAAAAAAAGTTAACAGGACAATGGAAATTACATCCTCTGTGGTATTTGGACCAAATCGGACAATGCAACAGCCAGGAAAAATTAAATCCTCAGGAAGCAGCAGAAATAATATGCAGTTCATCCACAACTCTCTTTTGAGAGAATACGTACATTTATACAGACATACACAAAAAAGATTCACAATGCCAAATGCAGTTCAATGATAGTTACATTTTTGGCAACAGTAATTTGAGTTAGAAAGTTTTACTGCAAGCAAGCTAAGATTTTAACACTATTATGTACAATAAAGTGAATAGTTACAGAGCTCCTGTTAATGTAAATAAAACTTAGGGCAATGACTAATTAACTTTTAAGTAATGTTGTCTAAAGTTAGTAGGACTGCTGTCCTTTTAAAGTGATACTAGGCTTCCAGAATGGTGGAAAGTGTGAACTACACAAAAAATTAAACTTCTGATTAGCAAACTTGACACCAACAGGATGGCTGCATGTTGGAAACTTCCCCAGCAGAAGGGAAGCGCAAGATACATTTTGTACAAGATGTACCAACGCAGTTACTAAGTATGCACAAGTATTCTGTAAGTTAAGCTTGTTACTTCAAGTCCAATTTACCACAAAAAGGCTTGCATCTGTCTACATGCATGCAGAGGTCAGAGCCAAAGGGCTGGGACAGTATGGAGACACAGCCTCTCTGGGATACCACAAGGGAAAGACGCTTGCCCAGAAAACCTATGAAGGCCCTTCAAAGTCATTTGAATTGACAAATGAGAGTTAGATTTGCCACCTATCTTCTACTTGAAACAGAAGTCATCAGCAGCCTCTAGTGGCCAAAGATTTGTGTCTCCACAGCCAGCAGTGGAAAAAAGGCACAGAGCAACGCGCATTTCAGTTTTCCTACTCATGAGGGATAAGAGGTCATGAAAGTTTCCTCTGCGGGTACTACAAAAGGGAAAGTTCTCTAGTCCAATGTATACATATAATCTATCACTAAAAAAAAACCCTGTCTCATCTATCACTGCAATTCTGTAGCTGCCAGAAACAGAAACAGTAAGAATCTGACTGAGCTCACGATGAGCGCATCTCCAGACTGAGTTGCAGATTTCTCAGCAGCATCATTCTCGCCTCTACCAGTTGCTACTGCACTTATTTTTATGAGATATTAGAATCATGCTTCAATCCTTTTTTGGAAGTTACCTTCTCCCTTTCCAGTGCACATCCTGGAAATGTGAAATCACTGACAGTGTCAACTAGTCAGCTACAGAAATAACTAATTATTTTAACAATGAGAAAAAACTCACTGGAGTTTTACATAAGATGCAGCACTTGAAGTATTATTAATACAAATAGCAGTTACATGCATTGTTCCTCCTAGACACGCAGACCAAAATCAGAGGGATGAAGTGACTATGCAGTTGGCTTTATTTCTTTATAAGGAAATTCATCACATTTTTAGTAAAGCAAGTTTAAGTCAGTACATAAGTCTAGTAGAAACAAAGTATATTGCATTTTACATTAGTACCTAAGTTAAACTTTGACAGTACTCATTATACACTTTGTGTGTTCTCAGTTTTCAGATTTTGACTTCTGAACCAGTAAGAATTTATGACATGCTCACTTACCATGAAGGAACACACTTAGTATTATATAAAGTACATACCTATGCTCTGCCTCAAGTGAGCTTGAAAGAACATCTGCCTGAGGGAAAGCTGAAGACTGAACAATCTGTTGAGATGTAACTGAAGCATTGCCATTCTCCTGCAGATTTTCATTTTCAAAGTTTCGGTTTATATCTCTCTCATGATGAGGACTGTTGCTATTATGCAAGTTAAAGGACTCATCATTCTGTTAAAAAGAATTATATATTACAAAGTTAAAAAGTAAATTTCATGAGTAAATGTCTGCAAGTGCTGCAATTCAGTGATTCCATTTAATTTAAATTAAGTTTAATGGAGTTAACTAACTAGTTCATAGATAATTCTGTTCATACTTCCAGAGTTTGCAATACCTGGATAGTACAGAAATCTTCAGTTGTGTCACTGATCAAGTAACACAGAAAGAAACTCCCATGCTCTGCCTCAAACTTTTTTCTACAAAGTTTCAAACATATCTTAAAATTCAAACTTATTTAAGCTGCCCTTCATATTTACAGAAAAAATAGGTTATCTGTTTAACTTACATACAAGGTTTCAAATTAAATATCAGAGCCACGTGTGCCAGGAGAAGTTTGAAAGCCTAAGAGTTCTCAAGTTTACTTAGTTTAAGAGGCAGGTCACAGCCACCATACCTCAACCAGCAAATTCACCTGCCACAAGTTCAGAAAGATTGGATGCTGTTCTTAAATCAGACAACAGCTTCCCCTGCACACATGCACTCACCACAGCTTCTCAGGCTGTTGTTAACAGCAACGGTAACTTAATAGCCATGAAATAAGAACGAGGAAGAAAGTTTATGTAGAAAGCAGACTGTTCAGGTTCACTCAAACATTAAAAGCTCTTTAATCCTATAAACCAGAGATGTTTCTTTTTATTCTCCCCATTCAGCAACCTGTAATTCTTATTTAGTAATAAGCCAAATAGCCTCCGAAGTCTTACCAACTGTAAAAACAAAGACTACTATCATTATCAAGTTATCATCCTTTTGACAACAAAATCCCTAAACTAGGCAGATACCAGCATCATCCATAGCAGGAAGCAATTGCTGCATCAGTCAGTTCTGCACTTGTCAGAAACCATACTTCAGAGTCCATGATCAACCATCATCATCATTCCCCTCCCACTCAGTGTTGTCTGCTTCCAGAAATTTTAGAATGCTCAGCAAGAATTTCTGAAGAACAAGTATCCCAGTAAATATACATTGAGCTGTTAAATTATACGCCTGAAGAATGCATCTCGAACAAAATTCAATAAAAGATTAAACAATTTTAATATATACAGGGCAAAATCATGTTCTTCAACATGATTCAGCTGCTGATCACGATATGCCTCGTTAGTTGAGAGGTGAAATCTGTCACGGCAGGCCTTAAAATTCCATCAATGGGATTATGTTATGTTATTGAAAACTGTTCTGCACTTATCTTCCAATCCACTCAGTTGCACACCACATCTTCTACCGATGATCATTAAAATGAATGTTGGAAGTAGGAAGACTGTTAGTTATGTGATTTGTTTAACATTTTTTCACTAACAGCAGGAACAGGAGGCATGCACTTAAAACAACTACTCCAGGCTACACGTTATATACACCTGTCCAAGGACATTACAACTTCCACTATTAAAAGTCTTTTTTTTTTTTTTCAATACACTTGCTTCCAAAAATCAGCTGTGTACAATGGGACAATCAAATGCATTTGACACATGTATCAAAGATAACATGGACTCAAGACAATTTCAGGAACAGAAATCCCCACAAAGTTAATGTGCTATTTTCAGAATTCTGAGCTCAAAACAGTGTTTCCCAATATCTTTTTAATCTTAAATCAAAATCTTTGTGTATTCCTTAAACACAGGAACATTACCCCCAACACCCATCAGCAGAACCAAGTTTTTCCATTAACTATTTGTAGGGTAACAAACAGCCAAGGTGTGAAACACTGCCCTCCACAAAGATTAGGTTAGTGTACTAAGCTTAATTTATTCTTTTTATTGTTGCTAAAGACACAGATGTACCTGAGTTATTACCAAGTGTGAACAGATACTGAAGAAAGAAAAAAAGAAACTACTAAGCAGCACTGAAGCAAGAGTACTACTTGGAACAACTTGTTTAATCAACATGTAATTTCTTGTCTTCATTTAGAGATCCAAGATCATGACTTGACAATTGTTTGCAGCCAAATAAAAAGTAGTTTATGGTCCATCTGAAAACTACTACTGCTGAATCTACAATAGCTATGAATAAAAATACCTTCTCTTGCCCAGCACGACTCTTGTCTTCATGTTCCTCTTCCACTCTATCTTGTTTCAATGCTTTCAAAAATTCACTCTTCTTATCAGTCCGCATTCTTGTCAATTTTGTTAAACGAGGCTGACCAACTTTGTCAACAGGGGATGAAGAATTTGACCGACTACACTAATGTAGGGAGTCAGAAAAAAGAAAGAATATTAGAAGTTTATTCATTTAGAAAACTCTGAAAGACAAAAAGATTCCCTGGCACCTGTAGTTTCAGGTTTCACGTATATTCACGGTCAAAAGCAGAGGGAAGATATTTGTGTTTCAGTATACATAGTCCTTACAAGTAAACCCACAGATGCAGGTTTATGGAGCACTGCTAAACAAACAGTGGACCTTCTGAAGTGTATCGTACCATTAGCAGCTTTGAATTTTAAACTTACCAGGTTATACTTCCTAATGCAAACCTACAAAGTGAATTGTCAAGTACTTAGATGTGTCTGCCATATTAACTTCCAAAAAAAACTTATTTAATACAATTCTGCATAAAACTTACAGATCCCCTTATCTAACCAAATTAAATGTTTTACGGATTTGATAAAAAACACAGACATTGATTTACCTCTTTCACTGAATTTTGTGATACAGCAAATGCCTTGGCAGTTGATTTGAAAGGACTGAAATTGCCAACACCATATGCAGATTCATGAGGAAATGGATTCCCAAGTTTATTTTCTTTTGCTTGGCTTTTCCAGTGTGTAGGCTAAACAAAAATTTAAGCAAAAATGTAAAGAGTTATTAACTACAATAGGATTATTTTCAGGAATCTTTAAAAAAAAATGATTAAGCAAAAGCAAACCATAACTACAACCACAATTTAGCACAAACACCTGTTTTCTTGTGGAGAAGAGACTGTTTATGAGCAATTAATCCACTCACAAATACTGTTTACACTTTTTTATATAAAGACTAAAATTTCAAAACAATTAAGACCCTCATATTTGATGTATTAAGAACCAAAATATAAGTCTTCTACAGCTGCAAGTAGTGTTTTTAATGCAGAATGTTAGAGAGTTAAGAACCACTATCATATGTTCTCAGGAGCACAGAAAAATTCCTGAAACAAAAATCAAAGGAGGAATATAGAAAGTTGCATTTAGAAAGGGATGAGAATGACACTACTCAATTGCAACATCATCTCTATCAATAATTGGGATAAATTCTGCAGGTATTTTTATGCCAACTATCTCTCTCTACTAGGTATGTACTTTTCTGTTAAAGTCATATATACAAAAGGCATTGCTATTCCATAAGTTAAAAACAGCCTTTCCACTCTCACCTGGACAGCTCTTGCACTGCTCAAAAAAGGTATACAAGAAAACGAGAGATCCAATTACGATATAGTTCAAAAAGAAAAATGAGAAGAAGTTCTTTCCATTCACTTCTGGAGTGCGCTCCTCTTAGCAAGAGATGGAAAGCATAATACTCTAGGAACAATACTCTCAGGGGTGAAATAAGCACATTCGGAACCACAGCGTTATGTATTTTTCAGCATGTTGTTCATGCCACAGGTGTCCAAGACTCACCTTTGCGGGTGAAGTGACAGGTTTAGGGACTAATCCTTTATAAACACTTGCACCAGTTCCATTTCTTACTGGTTGTGAATGAAGGCTTCCTCCTACTGGGAATCCAGATATCTGTAATTCTTTAGTACTGCCCTTTTTAATGACCAGCATTCTCGGAGATCTAGATTTAGGATTTAAAGGATACTCTGGAAAAAAAAGAAATACACGTGTGTGTGTGTGCACGTGCGCACATGTGTATACAATCTTCATTTTCTAGTTCATAAGGTACTGGATAGCCGTATGGTGCAGAGCAAACAGGCATAAATCAGGAACTTTGTCCAGTATTAGTTCCACAAATAGCACACTGTAAAACCTGGATAAACATAGGTTCTGCTTCATTTTCTACAACCAGCATTTGTAAAATGTTTCACTTGGCAATGCAGGAATTTTTCTTTTGGAAAGTAAAGTTCTTCAAAGATCCAGCTACAAAGTTCTTGCTTGCAAATCTAAAATCCAAATACTGTTAGTTGTTGATAGTTACCTGATCTTCAAAAAAGATTATGGTTTTCATATTTCCCTTTACAGTTACTAAAAGAATAATTATTTATCTATTTAACAACAGCTCAGTTTAGAGCCAAATCCTTCACACCAAGGCTCTATAAACATGAGACAAGATATGTGCACTACTCTAGACCACGGCGATGACCAGTTTCTCTATCTCAAACTGGTGTAACAGAACGTCTGAAGCTTACAACAGTTCCATGTTCAAGGGAGTACTAATTAGGAGACATACAGTCAGCTGTCATACTGAGTAATTGACATTTAACAGTTTTAAAGAACATCTATTAAAAACACTTCTAAAATTTTCAAAAAGTGAAAAAAGAACTTTAATTACTTTTTGCACGTGCGTTCCAATGCTGCATTAACAGCCTTTTCCAAGATTGTCTCCTCTCCCTGCATTTCTACTACATTTTAAAAAATCTACCTTAAAAGCCTAAGTGACTTTAACTTTGTTTATAGCAGGTAGATGTTGGCCTTCTGTGATGGGGTTACAGCACTGGCAGACAAGGGAAGAGTACGGCACTGGCAGACAAGGAAGGAGTGACAGACGTCATCCACCCGGACTTGTGCAGGGCATTTGACACTGTCCCGCACGACAGCCTTGTCTCTAAATTGGAGAGACATGGATTTGATGGATGGACCACTCGGTGGATAAGGAACTGGCTGGATGGTTGCACTCAAAGAGTTGCACTCAATTGCTACATGTCCAAGTGGAGACCAGTGATGAGTGGCGTTCCTCAGGGGCCGGTACCGGGACCAGCACTGTTCAACATCTTTGTCAGCGACATGGACAGTGGGATCGAGTGCACCCTCAGCAAGTTTGCCAACAACAGCAAGCTGTGAGGCTGACACGCTGGAGGGAAGGGATGCCATCCAGAGGGACCTTGACAGACTGGAGAGGTGGGCCCCACGTGAACCACATGAAGTTCAACAAGGCCAAGTGCAAGGTCCTGCATGTGGGTCAGCGCAATCCCAAGCACAACTACAGGCTGGGTAGAGAATGGATTGATAGTTGCAGCCCTGAGGAGAAGGACTTGGGGGTATTGATTGATGAGAAGCTCAACATGAGCCAGCAGTGTGCGCTTGCAGCCCAGAAAGCCAACCATGTCCTGGGCCACATCAAAAGAAGCATGACCAGCAGGTCAAGGGAGGTGATTCTGCCCCTCTACTCCGCTCTGGTGAGACCCCACCTGGAGTACTGCGTCCAGCTCTGGGGGCTCCAGTACAAGAAAAACATCGAGCTGTTGGAGCGAGTCCAGAGGAGGGCCACAAAGCTGATCAGAGGGCTGGAGCACCTCTCCATGAAGACAGGGTGAGAGATTGGTGTTGTTCAGCCTGGAGAAGAGAAGGCTCCGGGGACACCTAATTGCGACCTTCCAGTACCTAAAGGGGCCTACAGGAAAGATGGTGAGGGACTGTTTATCAGGGAGTGTAGTGACAGGACAAGGGGTAATGGGTTTAAACTGAAAAAGGATCGATTTAGATTAGATGTTAGAAAGAAATTCTCTACAGCGAGGGTAGTGAGGGTCTGGAACAGGTTGCCCAGAGAGGTTGTGGAGGCCCCATCCCTGGAAGCGTTCAAGGCCAGGTTGGATGGAGCTTTTGGCGACATGGTCTAGTGGTGGGTGTCCCTGCCTGCAGCAGGGGGGTTGGAACTAGATGATCTTTGAGGTGCCTTCCAACCCAAACCATTCTATGATTCTATGTTACGAAACATTCATGATAACTGTATACTTAGCTCTCATTAAGCTTTATGAAAATACTTTTCATAATACTCACATGCTGCCATCACATATACACAAAGTAAAATGGAATCTAACAGAAGCACACATTTTTACCAGGCATTAGAAGGGAATGATAACATTCCTCCTGTGCTGAATATTGTTTCCTTTAAAAGGGATCGCCTTAATTTCATTTTTCAAATTACAGCACAAGGTTTGCAATAGCAGAGCTGTAATAAAGTAAGATATCAAGCTGTAAGCTGTAACATCACCGCACTGTAACTTACAGGTTGGACTAGATCTTTAAAGGCCTCTGCCAAACCAAACCACTCTATGATTTTATGTAGCTAACAGAACTGTCCTTTCCCTTGTTTCTGAAGAGAGCTATCAAAAAAACCAGAAAGCTTGCCCTCCTTCAGATCAAACTGAGCCACATCACGCAGCAGCCACAGCCAGAGTGCTGCAATGGTTGTAAAACACCCAAATTGCTACGACATTTTTCCCAACTTCGTTAGGAAAGAATTTAGTTACCATTGCTGTTTTATTGAAAGATAACTGTATTTCCTGACTTTCACATGAAAGCTGCTAAACACAGGAAAAGAGAAAGCAGTCCAATTGTTTAGGCGCCTGCAAAAGTTCTTAGCAATTAGATATTTATATTGAGGGGCTGGCCTACATCTAGTGTTACCTAAGAGCGCAAAACTGGGGAAGTATGAGAAAAAGAATCAGCAAATTAAAGTACCATTTAAAATGAGCAACAAGTTTCAGATCTCTGTATTAGCAACAGTTTAAGTAGTAGGTTTTATGTTTAATTAAAATTATTTCTTCATAAAGAGAAAGGTTCTTATCATGAGTAAGTTTATTACTTTAAAACCTGTGCAGTTAAGGGTGAACAACTGACTACATGAAGCCCACAAAGTTGTAAAGTGGTAGCCAAATTTCATCAAGTAGAGATGAGAAAACAATCCCAGACTACAGTTGAGTTCATGGCCCACTCTCAGGATTGGATTTCTTACAAGTAAATCGTAAACACAACCAACAGCTTAAGACATTTGCTTCCAGGAAGAGACCTTAAACCTCTGCAAGCTAGTCTGCTCTTCTCCACCCTCCTCAGTTTCTCTCCAAACTCTTCCAACAGCTCTAATCAGTCAGAAGTGTTCTTTTACGAAGTTTTCAGCTAGCAATTGCATCACTAGTTTAGGTGACCCACCTTCATTGCATTTCCTCTTGAAAATACAGGTGAAGATAAATTCTTGACATCTTTACAAAAAAGATGTATACTTGTTGTGGAAAAGAATCCTAGTTGTAGCTGCATCTACAGATCAACAGATTGATATTCAAATAGAAGTGTTACCTCTCTAACAAAAAGATACTTACATTCTAATAATATTGAAGTTTCCTCAATTTCAATCTATACCTTAATAATTTAAATGTATACCTTTATAATTCTAGAAAAAAAACCTCTTACGTTTCAAATAAAACAACTTTAGATCTCTGCTACTTATTTACATTTAAAAACATGAAAAATACTCACCCCACACACCTGCAGCTAAAGATTTATTCTGGTTTGGTTCCCTCTCACATTCAGGGTTCAAAGATGGCTGAAAGAAAGTTTTGTCATTATTAAAAAAAAAAAGTCTTGAATTCTGTGACCAATGAAATAAAGAATCACAATACTGTCAGCAGTATGACCTCTGCTGTTAAAGACTTTTAACTTAAGACAGACTAGACACTTCCCTCCGAGACCCAAATAGGTCAATGCTCACTTTTTTCTCTTCTCCAACAAAACACCTCAGGCAGCAGTCAATACTATTACATGAAATGCCCAGAGAAAGCAAAAACCAGCGATGTATCATTCTTCAAAGAGAAAGCTCACACTTCCTCTTATATCCTACAATTCTAGGTTGAAGCACAAGATCTCAAAGGGCCATTGGCAGAAAGATCACTTTGTTAGTTAGATTTCCAGTAAGGTAACCGCATGGAATTTAATCATACACATAGCCACAGTGAACTGGAACCCAACTGCAGTTTCACTTAAACACTTAAGTGACAATAATAAACATATAATGGCAAAAAATGGATATAAAAGGAGAAACAAGTTAGTGGACAAATGACTAACACCCTCTTACCTATGGGAAGGGTGATCCCTTATATGATGATCTGAAAATGGTGAAATCTCATTAAATACCTTGTAATTGACAAAAGGGCACTTGCATAAACAATGAAACTTTATTAGAATCACAATTAACTTACAAAATCCTCAGCCTCAAACTGTTTGGGTACTTCTTTGTCTTCCTTTTTCCCAATTTCATTATCAGGTACACTGTTTTCGTGCAGTCCTTGGCCTTTTCCACAGTGGAAAGTGCTGGTACGAGCGCGGGAACCTCCACCATGGTATCCCCCACGATGGTATGTATTTTCTGTACCATTTCTGCCTTGTGAACGCCAACCATTCTTCTCTTTCCACCCAAAATTCCCTTAGATTTTGAAATTTTAAAAAAGTGCAATTACAAACAATTTTCAAATAATATTCTGCTTTTGCAAAATTGTTAGAGAAGTTAAGTAAGCAGCTCTATACTCTGGGATGTGATAGCACAGTAAACTTAAGTTTTCATTCACATTAGCAGCAGGGAAGAATCTTACAAAACAGCGCCAAAGAAAGAAGATAGCAGTCCAACAAGTCAGCCTCCTTTTCTGACTGCTCATTTGTATATTGTTGGCTAGAATATTAACTTGACGTTCTTATTCTTCTTAAGAGAGAAAAACAGCTGGAATCACACTACTTTAACCAACCCTTAGTCATCACACCCTCTCCCAGAAGATCTGTCTTTCCATTACCTCTATTTTACTACAGAATAAGAATTTAGCATAGGAGAGGTATTATCATCAGACTTTTTTTCTAGCTAGAGTGCTAGAAAGCAATGATGTAAATGTATTCACAATGTTCCACAAAAGATAAATTATACCTCCATTAGGCCGTCCAATGTTAGGATCGAACCCATCTGAAGAGTTGTGTCTTCTGCGATTTGCTTCATAACGATTCTCAGTCCACGGAAAATTTTCCGAATGTTTCTCAAAGTTCAGTGATGACTGTAAAGGAGCACAAGTGGTAGACCTGAGCTATCTGATTAACAACAAAACTGCATTATCAGAACTCTAACATGCACATTACTTATGGTAAATACAATTCATTTTTAAAAGGATTTTGAATGACAGACAATGCAGCAGTCCTCAAGTATGCCTATGTTCAGAGCTATGTCACCATCTCCCATGCTAGCATAGTGGAAGCTGTATCTTCTGCTCCAGGACACTGAAACAGTGCTGAGGACCATGCTTGTGATGCAAGGTAAAAAAAACCCAAGTGCCTATTTTGTTTTGGCAGCAGAACAGAGCACAAGTGACACATGTTCCAGCAAAGGAAAAATAGGAAAAGGTGTGAAAGGACAGAAGATCACAGCTTGGAAGGCAGAAAAGAAGTCTAGGATCTTAATTTGGGTGGTCAGACTACATTCCATAGAAAGCAAGGAGTCACTTCCACCAGATGCAGCAGTACCCAAAAAAAGCCAAATTTATTAGTCTTGTCATTGTAACTTAGTAAGGCAAATGCAACTAGTTATGAAACACAAATAAAACCTAGACTAAAAAGTGTACGGATTCACAAACATCTTCAAATTATCAGCTTGTAAGTGGGCATTGTAGAAATTTTAAAGAAATAAATCCTTCAAATATCAGTAGGAAGAATTTTATAAACTAAATTTCATATTAAGAATAGCATTCAGAAATCAAAATGCATCCTGACTATAACTCATACCTAAGGGGATTAAAATAAAAAAGATGATGTCTTACGGCATCTATCTTCCCTATTACTTCTATCTGGCTTTACTGTTTTAGAACAGTAACATTTCTTCCTGTGTTACATCTTAAAAATTCAAGAATAAATTTTCATTCTACTAAAGTAGTGCTCAGCCTTACCATTGTTCACGCTACACATCTCCCCATGAGCGACACCAGAGGGCTGTGCTACCCAGCACCTCCCCGCCACACAGCCAGCCTTTGATGCAGATGAAGCAAAGCCCCCTTCCCTCCCAGCAGACTTACTGTGCGCATATATGTCCATTGCACTGCACATGGACAAGAGATGCAACACATCCCAGGGCCATAAGAGCTACAAATGCATAAATGCACAGCTGGGTGGAAATATACTGTAAAACTAAGCTTAATGATTCCAGGGAATATCAACTTTACTGCACCCAGACTATCAATTTCACTGCCTGAAGCTCGTTCTCTCTCCAGACTGAGTAACACTCAGGAAAACAAGGACAGCAGTAATGGTGTATGTCTGAAAATGAAAGTCGCAACTTTATTTCAACTGCTATTATCCACTAACACCTTAAAACACTCCACTGATCAAAGTGAGTGGGAAAACAACAACAACAAAATAACACAACAACAAAAAAAGGAAATCTCAGTAATAAGTTTAACTACTATGGAGAACATGTTGAGGAAAATTACTTCCTTCTTCTTATCTCCCCCACCTCCTGCAAGAGACAATTACACAAAAGAAATCATACCCAAGAAGAGCTCAAGGTGCTGTTCAAAACTCACTGCTTAAAATTCAAACTCAAGTAAGCAACAGATATGTTTAAAATACAAAGTTTGTATTTACAAACCGTACAGAATTCAAATGAAAATGGATTGACCACTCAATTTGAAACCTGGGAAGTGAATTACTTCCCTGACAAACTTGGAGAGAAAAAACAGAAAACCACAGGTAACTATCAAAAGATCTAAGTAGTTTAAAAATTATCATAATGAATCACAATATTTAAGTAAAAAAATAAATCCTTATTAACAGATTTTGAATAAGCTGTCAAAAATTTCACAAAGCTCCAGATCTGTTGATCACAGATGAAATTTTAGAAGATAGCTTCATGTGTTCATTTACATAAGACAACTTTCTAATATTGCCTTTGTAGTTTAACCTTTTTTTTGTATGAACTTTGAAGAACAATCACATTTTCACAAAGTATAACTGACAGCATTTTATAGATAGTGTTTGACCTGTACATGATATAAAGAATCTAAAGTCTCAAAATTGTGTGCAAAAATCATGCAGTTTGCATCCTCCCCACATGATGGAGGTATCAGTCTATCAAGCCTCTTGTAGCAGAGATGACAGTAATCTTTGTAAGCAACAGGAAATCTACTGGCAATTTCTGGAAGTTGAGAAATTATCCAACCAGGTTCATCCAGCCAAGAAAGCAAGCAACACGTTTTTGAAGTATAAGAAGTAATCTTGTTGCTTAACATGAAGTAAGCTTGCAAAAAATGAGTTTATCAGTCTGTCTGCAATCTCCTCATACATGTTTCACAGCAATCCTTTCTGAAAAGTTTCATCCATATCCCAAGATGGCTTCACTATTCACTACACCTTCCCATTTCCATCTGCCCAACTGCAATACTGCACTCACATGAATATAGCAGTTCCAGACCTAAATTAAAGCCACTGAGCAATGGATACCCAGCTATTTAGGTGGACTTTGCTATATAAGAGATGGGGAGATGATATAAAAGCTTATCCTTAAGAGGAAATCATCAGCAATAAGCCAGATGGATTTCAGTCAAGCTGTAATCTGTATCAGTCACTTTGAAAAAGCTCATTCACAATCCCAGCTTCCTGGCATCAGGTTTTTCTAATGCTAGCCTTTACCTATGTAAGGAAAAGCCTCAGCTACCCAGGACTGAGGGGGGAAACCAGGCTCCTAAAGATGCAATTCCTAGAAGTGCCTCTTCAGGGAAATAAAATCTGACCTGGTAGAGTTCAATTTCTCCTTCTCAAGTCTAAATGTTGTTGATACCATAGCCCCATGCAGCTCTATTCTATGTGAAACATGAGACAACTTGCCTTCTTCAACCCATCCTTCATCTCCATTCCTCTTATCTGGTCTTCTCTTCAGGTGTTTTGTTGATACATGGGAAGCAGAAATAAAAATTTGTTCTAGGAAATGGAGGGGACAGGAGGCCACAACATTTGAGACCTGTCTTATAGAGGAATGACAGGACAAGTCTTATTCTGTAAACCAAGAATTACTACACATCAGGTAGGACCAAAAAGATTTTGCAAGTGTTTAATATCCAAATGTGCTGTCTATCACAGAATGCTGATCACTGGGGCAGGAGGTAATACAAGGAAATAAGCTGCATTTCAAACAATGAAGCACAAACACTATAATGGAGAAAACATACTACGGAGTTTTTGGAAGAGATGAAAAGTCTATCTAAACTCCCTGAGGCAAAGAATCATGGAAGAGAACAAGATCCACAAGATCCACAACATATGCTTGCTATGAAATTTCCTACAATTCAGGAATGAGGTGACAAATACAGCCTATACCTCAGATATATTCAAGTGGTACTGGAGTAGTTCTGGAACTTAGTTTTATGCTGCTCTACTGACACCTTAAGTATGCAGAAAAAGCTCTTCCAGTAGATTATTGAAATATGTGAAAATTGTTTTGTAATTGTGACGCCATATTAAACTAAGCTCTGATTACTCTTCC